GTCAATCTTTAAAAGTAAGAAGTTCCATAATTAACTGTCATGCTAATAAATTCACTCTAAAGTTCATTTCAGTTCAAGGGCTATTATATATTTTTCAATCTAAAACTGGGTTTCCTTGTGGAATTGTCACTCAGCTGTAAGAAAAATAAATATACTTGCTTTATCATATAAACTGGTATTATAAAGTGTCAGTCCAAACTGTTTCTCTAACAGATTTTATAATTAAGCCAAAAATGCATACATCTGTTCTTTGCCAATCCTGTATGTACAGGGTTTATGCTTTTATGTGTATCGCCATTCATTTATTCATACAACAAATACTATTATGTCAGTCCTATGTGCCACACAAAATCCCTGCCTTTATGGTACTTATGACCCAGAACAACACTTTTCCAAGTTTAAGGAGAAAGTGAATTGCCTGAGGATCTTGTAAAAATTAAGATTCTGATTCACTAAGTCTGGTGTGGGCCCCAAGGCTAAATTTCTAATCACCTCCTGGGTGCTGCTAATGCTAGGGACCACACTTTGAGTAGCAAGGGTCAAATGGATTTATTTAATCCTTACAACAGCCTCATAAGTATCAGATTTTTTTTTTCCTTGAGCATTTAACTATGTAGAGAACTCTGTGCTATGTATTGTAAATAGATATGGGTCATTAGGAAACTCACTATACAGCAGAAAAAGATAATGTAACAAATAATCATAATAGTATGATTCTGTTTATATGAAATATTTAATTAAAGCAAATCTATGTTGACAGAAATTAGTGGTGGTTGCCTGGGCTAAGGGTGAGTACAGGGATTAACTGTAAATGGTCATGCAGGATCCTGTTGGGATGGTAAAATGTTTTTAAAACTGTATTGTGGGGCTGGGTTTGTGGCTCAAGGGGTAGAGTGCTCACCTGGCATGGGTGAGGCACTGGGTTTGATCCACTTAAAACTAAAAAATAAATATTAAAAAGAACTGTATTGTGATGATGGCTGTATGACTTGATAAATTCACTAAAAATCATTGAATTATATACTTGAAATGGGCAAATTTTAAGATGTGTAAATTATGCCCCAATGAAATTATAAGAAAATTCAAATAATTAAAATATAATGTGAACAAATGCAGTAAGAGAAACATGTAGTTTCAACTGCTTTTAACAGTCAAGGAAATGGAACTTATAGAGGATAATTTGCCCAAAGTCACATACTAGCCAGAGATGGAATTACAATATAAATCTATTCCAATTAACCTAAGAGAAGTCACTGTCAGAAAATTCATTGCCGTGGAAGATGTATGCCAGGAAGCAGATACTCTTGCACCAAGAAGAGGTTGCCTCTCTGTCAGAATTGTCCTCACCCTGTGAGACAGAGATCATCCTGAGTGGTGACCTACATAGCATCCCATACCAGAGCTGCCAGCTAACATGGCTATGGAAGCCCATGAGCTTCTGGTAGACCTTTGGGTTACTTCCAGATTTTAGTTTCAAGCAATGAAAATCAGTCCTTGTCTGATTTAGTAGCTAAGGTATTGGGCAGTCCATGGAGTCATTATGAAAGCTCAGAACCAAGTTTAAAATTGTGCAGTCAAGAATGATGCCCTAGGGGCTGGGGCTTGGGGGCTCAGCAGTAGAGCGTTCGCCTAGCATTGTGAGGCACTGGGTTCAATCCTCAGTACCACATAAAAAATAAATAAATAAAATAAAGGTATATAAAAAAATCACATCAATCTTTAAAAAAAAAAAGAATGATGCCCCCAAATCTTGCAGATATCTCAGCAACCTCCTGAGAAAATTGCTGTTTTGATGCTGCTGAACATGCTGGACTCCTCTCCTTACTCCACCACTACTGCTGCTCTAGGAACTCAATTTGGTCATAACTACAAAGTCTCAAGAGAGAAGTGACTGCTGTCTTTGCTTCTTTCTTCGTGTTCTAGTCCTTTACTCAAAGCCATGCAAGTGCTCCTGCTTAGTGGAAGGTAGTTTATACAACAACTTTGGATGGGAAAATATTTGACAACTTTTATCAGTTCCTAGGTGTAAGAATCAGGTTTTTCTGGGGCTGGGATAGTGGCTCAGTGGCAGAGCACTTGCCTTGTATGTTATGAGGCACTGAGTACGATCCTCAGCACCACATGAAAATAAATAAATAAAATGAAGGTATTGTGTTCATCTACAATTTAAAAAATATTTTTTAAAAAAGAATCAGGCTTTTCTTAATTTCAAGACTCATATAATCAGTGAATTCTCAGAGCTCAGAGAGTTCAGAATTTGGGCAACCAACCAAATGAACAAATGAAACAAAATTCCCGCCCCCCCCCTCCCAAACAGGTGTCCATTACAGCCCTGCAGAAGCAGTAGTCCATGGAGCAATATCATCAAGATCAGTTGGAAGCTTGTTACAAATAAGATTCTCAGTGAGATAATTTGTATGCATAGTAAAGTTTAAGAAATTTTGCTCTGTATTATACAACATGTAGTTCTTTTTAATTTTCAAATATCAGTCACCATTATGTTCTAATCATCTAGAGAGTTACTAAATTTAATGCAGGACACACAGTTAAATTTGGATTTTAGATAAATAACAAATAATTTTTAGAATAAGAATGTTCTATGTCATAGTTGGGACATACTTATACTAAAAAATATTCCTTATTTATCTGAAACTCAAACTAAAGTGGGCATCCTGTATTTTATCTGGTAACCATATTTGTGCTCTCCCCCATGATTAACAAAAATGAATAAAAACAAAGGAACATTAATTGCCTAGTAATGCATTTATACCAGTTTTCTCTTTTGGTTCAATAGACTATGAGTGTCATGAGAGCAGAATATAGAAACTGCATAGTTTCAAGCCCACTCTGAGTTATGAGTAAGAATTTAATGTTTCAGTTTCCTTATAATTTGAAGGGTGAATGTGGGTTTTTTTTTTAATAGAACTATGATGGTAACTAATTTCACTTAAGAGTTTTGGCCAATAGCACCTTCATCTCACAGAACCTGATTGTATGAATGTGTTAATAAAGGAAATATATGATGACAATCATTGCTGGCTTACCTCTGAAAATGGTTATTATAACTTGGTTTTCTTCCTAAAGAGTTGCTACTTGTACTCAGGGATTTTAGAAACATAGCTTTTAAACATTCAGGAAAGAAGCATATTGTATGATATATCGATCAGAAGAATTTCATTTAAAAATAAAGGAAAACTTTAGTACTTACTTCAAAAATGTATATCAAGTATGTTTTTTTAAGGTAGATTATGTAAGGTAGACTAACTCACTATATTACTTAGTTAGTCCAATGATCTTAACCAGCCAAATAGGGAAATTGGGATGATTGGGAGATAATGACTTTCTTTTTACAGGATTTTGTGTATATAAATGAATCATTCCAATATACTTAACCAACAAAAATCTTCCATTCAGCATGTTCCTGCCATCTTATCTTATTCAATTGGTTGGCAATGGAATGAATAGGGACTATGAGAGGGAGGCTTACAGTTCTAAGGAGCAGAATATCCCTAGGGTCTGACGTGTTAGGGACTAACCTATATGTCCTATATGTCCATACCTACCAGCCCCTACTGCCCCACTGCCCATCAAAAGTTTCATACTCTGCTTGCTGCCAGCTTTTAATTCATTATTTGCAAGCTCCATCCTATAGGCAGATATCTGTGACAGGTGAAGGAAGTATCCTGGTTTAAAGACCATAAAAGAGCCAATTGATTAGCTCATTTTAAACATCAAATAATAGAGAAATCATTTATAAGTATATTATCAATAATTTATACATGCTATTTCTTAAAATGGTTAAGTATTTAGTGCATAAATGAGAATAGTTAAGGGCAGGGGTGTTTCTTAGTGGTACAGTGCTTCCTTGCACATGTGAGGCACTGGTTTAGATCTTCAGCATGTTAAAAAAATGAATAAATAAAATTTTAAAAGTTATTATAAAAAAAGAGAATAGTTAGAAACTATATAAAGTTGGGTGCTGTGGTGCACACTTGTAATCCCAGCATTTTAGGAGGCTGAGGTAGTAGGATTGTGTGTTCAAAACCATTCTCAGCAACTTAGTGAGGCTCTAAGAAACCTAGCAAGTCCTTGTCTCAAAATAAAATATAAAAAGAGCTGGGGATGTGGCTCAGTAGTAAAGCCCCTCTGGGTTCAATTCCTAATACCAAAAAAAAATAAAAAGAAAATTAAAAGCTCTTTGGAAAAATAACTGATTCGAGGTGTGGAACATAAAGTTACAAGAAGATCCCGAAACACCTTGTCATACCAAAACTTAAGTATCAAGGATTTTGGGTCATGTCAGAAGGGATTCGGTTTGAAGATATTTCCATTGGTCAAAGAGACACAGTTTGAGAATGAATAACTGTTATGAATTGATGCATAGTAAATATGTTTCAATCTTTTAGCTCAGATAGATACTCTAAAACAAAGAAACCTCTTTTGATACTTTTGGAAACTGCAAGAAAACCAAATTCTTATTTTGAAAGCTGTTAATAAGACGAATGAAGCAAGCTTCTAGTTTATTTCTCATAAATAAACTGTACCTCAGGGTAACCTAATAGTTAACAAGAGGAGGTTTCTTTTTACAGAATATTCCAGTTAATAGTTGATGCAGAAATTAACATCCTATTCTAACTCCTAATGAAATAATGTGGTTAGGGATTTATCATTAATGTTGGCTAACTTTACAAAAAAAGAAACAGCAAACAGCAGATATTATTTGTCACCTGTATATAATATCACATATGAAATATTCTTGCCAAAAAAATCAAACTAGAATTATGTCCAATCTAGTTTTCTTAGGTAATAAAACACAGGGCAGAAAGATGACACTATTGGAGTTACAGTCAGAAAATCCAGACTGGAAAATCCTACAGGACAAACAACCCAGTTTTGCTTCAATAAATCGAATGGAAAAAAAAGGAGGGAGAAGCAATAGTTTAAGAGATTTTAAGACATGTATCAAAAATGCAATGTGTGCCAGGTGCAGTGGCATATACCTGTAATCCCAGTGGTTTGGGAGGCTGAGACAGGAGGATCATAAGTTCAAAGCCAGCCTCAGCAACTTATCGAGGTGCTAAGCAACTCGGTGAGACACCATCTCTAAAAAAAAACACAAAAAAGGGCTGGGTATATGGCTCAGTGGTTGAGTGCCCCTGAGTTTAATCCTCAGTACCAAAAATAAAAAAATGCAATGTGTGTGAACTTTATTTAGATCCTAATTTGAACAAATCAGCTGTGATAAAATAATAAAAATATTCATGAGACAATTGAGGGGAATTTGACTACTTTATCATAAAGCATTTTTATAAAAATTATAAATGTGATAATGGTATTGTCAATATATATTTTAGAAGTAAGTGCCCTTATATTTTAGCTATAAATACACAAATATCTGTGGGTAAAAATGATTTGGTGTTTACTTCAAATTAATTTGGGGGTATGTTTGAATAATTGTTGAAGCTGAGTGAAGCTTCAAAGGGATTAATTTACTATTCTTTCTACTTTCTTTTGTGTTTGCATTTTTTTCCTAAAATAATTAGGTTATAAAATTATATTTAGAGCATGATGTCAATTTAAGTTCTTAATATATATATGTATATATTACTTATGTGTATTAATGCATACATAAAAAGGAAAAGAAGCTTAAAAAATTCTTGGTGATTACCACCTTTTGATGAAATTAGAAATGAAATATATAAACTGGTTAAGGTGGTACATGCATGTAATCCCAGCAATTTGGGAGGCTAAGGCAGGAGGATGTAAAGTTCAAGACCAACCTCAGCAATTTAGTGAGATCCTGTCTCAAAGTAAAACTTGAAAAAAGAACTGGAGATGTAGCACCATCAAAGTAATGTACCCTTGGTTTAATTCCCCTGTAATCCCCCTTCAAAAAAAAATGAAACATGCATGTTTTTTATTATTATTCTCTATATTCTTCATTGGGGGAAAATAAATTTCAAGAGGCACAAGACCCAATTATTTTCAACTCTTTTTAAATTAGCATTGACAAATAATGAAGACAAGAAGAAAAGTCCCTAAACTACTAAAAGCTGTCATTATGTGGTGGAACCACATGACATTTTTTTTTCATTTCTGTATTTTTTAACTTTAATATAAAGGTTAATTACTTTAGGATTAAAAAATTCAGGACCTGGAGTTGTGGCTCAGCGGTAGAGCGCTCGCCTAGCATATGCAAGGCCCTGGTTTCGATCTTCAGCACCCTGTAAAAATAAAAATAAATAAAATAAAGGTATTGTGTCCAACTACAACTAAAAAATAAATATTAAAAAAATTTTTCAATAAAACACCACTAAATCTACAAGCACAATTTACTAAACATAAACAAAATTATGTACCGTTTAGTAAGATTTTAGAAAATACTAACAGATGTAGGTAACATTGTCTAAACTTCAGGTGCCTAATTGGTTGATTATCCCTGAGATGACGGGTTAAATACCAGTCTAAAGGTCTAGAGAAAAAAGGGGGAAGGAAATCAGATTGTGAAAAAGCAGAGGGTGTTCTTGTGATTCCGAATCGCAAAAGCTGAATATTACTATCAAATATAAGGAAGCATAGCTCCAGAAAGAGATCATGCTTTGATGATTTTGTTGCCTCAATTTGTTTTGTTTTGGCATAACATTGCTATATCTTTACCAATTTTAAGTAAAACTTCATAGATTTCATTTTTAGAAATACTACATATTTTTAAAATATCATGGCTTTAATAATTCATGGAAGAAAAATAAATTTTAAGAGGCATAAGACCCAATTATTTTCAACTTATCTTAATGTTATCACTTTCTCTTCATGATATCTTTTTTAAATCTGTTTTTCTTTACACATAAAACTTTTTCTTCTTCTATTTTCTTGTAACTAGAAAATTTTTATAAGTGGAATCACCTGGTCAGGAGTATGAACATTTAGAAGGCTCTTGATATACATGATTGATAACTTGTTTTCCATTGTGTTTTTTACTAATTATTAACTTACTAATTCATAATCTACCCTCTACCCAGCAGTGTTTGTGTGTCACTGAATATTCACCAGAATTGATCATTATGTTATTTATTTATTTATTTACTTACTTACATTTTTGTGGTGCCAGGAATTGAACTTATGGCCTCAAGCATAACAGGCAAGGGCTCTATCATGGAGATTTTTGATTTCCAGCCCCATCATTATGTTTTTAAATATATTTGGGCTAATTTCACAGTCATAACATAGGATTTTATTGTATTTGCATATCTTTGATAGACAGATATTTGTATTAGCTATTTTAAAGTCCTTTTTCATAAATATTCCCTTATATACATTGTCTGCAATGTAAATCTTCTTAACTGTCTACATTTCTATTTAATTAAAAAAATAAACAAAATCATGGACCCATTTAGACATATTGAGCACAAAGTCATGTTTTGAGAACATGGCACAGTGTTTGAAATGTGAACTAGTTCCCATTTGAGCTTGTGTCTTCCTCCCCACCTCCAGTACACTAATTATCATAATGTTTCAAATAATTCTTGTCTTTAAGGTCTCCATTTGCACTTATCTATAAATCATTTCAATTTACAGATGCAGCAAAGAACACCAATGATATTATTGATGGGCCAGATGCATTCTTGTGCTCTTCCTTCTGGGACCAATACTTTTTGAGATGGTCGGGAATAGAAGACTGATCTGTGGTGAAAAAAAACCCTACTTCTCTGAGAGAAGTTAACAGATCCTTTGGGAATAAGTCTATGATTTCGATTTCTTATTAGCATTGTGAACTCCATTCAAGTGTGACTGACAGTTACACAAGTCAATACAGAAATACTTTAGGACAGCCAAGTTTCAGAGCTTTGTTTTCTTTTTTTCTTCTTTTTCTTATAAATTAGTGCTTCTGTTTTTACAGAGTTCATTGGAAAAATAAATCAGAGCACTTTTGATTCTACAAATGAATGTAATGAAGCAATGTTTCCAAGAAATCTATCATTTGGCTAAAAGAGGACCAAAATAATAAATTGATTGTTTGAGGAAAATACTACTGAAGGAAATGAAAGTACATTCTAGATGATTATTAATGCTTTCATTTTCACTTTAATTCTTATTCAAGTCATATCTAAAGACTAAATGCAATTGCACAGGTTTAGAAAGCAAAGAATATTTCTGGTTTTGACAATTTTGATCTCATCAAGCATACTTTATAAAGTGTTGAATAATGTCAGGATGGAACAGGGTAGTCAAAGACCCAGGAGATAATCAGCCAGTTGCATTTATTGATTTTTGGTTTTCATTCCCAATTCCAGAGGAGGTGATATCCCTCAATGTAAAAGATTTTAAAATATTCAATGGCATCTTTTCATCATGCTCTTGAATATAGTTCGAAAGCTTATGGTGATATGTTCAAATATTAGACCATAAAAATCCTGTAGGTTTATAATGCAAATAAAACTGGAAAAATTACAGATAAGAAATTCTGGATTTAGAGAAGAATGTGCCAATCACCAAAACTTAATGTGTAATTGCATAAAAATGCTGGTTTAGTGAAATTAGAACTTCAGCAAATGGATCCAAAATAAAATTTTTCGGTAGTATAGGAAACCAATTGTTCCCTAACTCCTCTTAAATAAAAGTGTGGATAATTAAGTGTAATTTAAATCATCTAATCCAAGTCAACCCATTCATTTCATCAAATCATCCAGGGAAAAGAACTTTAAGACAAAGCAACTTTCACTGAAAATACAATTTCTCATTTAACTAATAAATAATTACTTAGGGATTCTTGGCATTAGAAGAAAGATGGTTTTTAATAAGAAAAAGAAAATATAGCCTTTACCCTTGAAGGACTCATCTTGGGGGGAAACAGAAAATATGTGCCCCCAAATCTCAGAATATGGACATGTTCTCCTATTTTCATGAATGTTAAAGTAAACAACAAGTTGACTGTAATAGACTGTATTTGCCTAAAATGCCAAAGACTTGTAAGCAAAGTTTTATAAACTCTGACATATACTGAGAGTTGAACCCAGTGTCCTTTTTTTTCCCTGGGCTTTTCATAACGTTTTCTTTCAGCAATCATTTGAAAGTGGTTTATTCAAATATATTTTTATTCCTTTTAGCATTACAGTATCTTCTTAAGTACTTGCTCCAATGGTCTATATCTATTTAAGGTAATATATGCTGGCAGTCCAATTCATGTTCAACTTAATTATCCTGAGTACTAGTTGGAGAGTCACTATTCTGAGGGCACTGTTTCTCCAACTGTAGTGTGCACCAGAATCACAGGAAGAACATATTACAAAACAGATAGCCAGTCCCACTCTCAGAGTTTCTGAGATGGATGAAGTTTCATTAACTGAGTAGTTCTAGGATGAAGTCCAAGAATTTAACTTCCTAACTAGTTGCCAGGTCATTGACATGCTACTGGTCCCAAATCTGAGTTTTAGTCCTTTTTTTTGCGTTCTCTCTGGAAGCTTGAAGATCTTTTCTTTGTCTGCTATGTGCTCAGATTTCTGGATCACGTTTTCAAGTTGATCTATTTTTATTTTGTTTTATTTTTCAGTATTGGAGATTGAACTCAGGGGCACTTGACCACTGAGCCACACCCCCAGCCCTATTTTGTATTTTATTAAGAGAGAGGATCTTACTGAGTTGGTTAGGGCCTCACTAAATTGCTGAGGCTGGCTTTGAACTTGCCATCCTCCTGCCTCAACCTCCTGAGCCGTTGGGATTACAGGCCTGTGCCACCATAACCAGCTGATCTATTTTTATACATTGTAGTAGATATTTAATGAACTTGTTCAACTTGGTGACTCATGTATTTCAGTTCTGGGAATTTTTTTTAGATTATTTAATTAATGACTTTTTTCCTTTTTTTTTTCTCTCTTAATTAATGATTTTTTCCCTCTTTCTCTTCCTGCCTTACTCCCTCAACCCCCAATTTCTCTGTTACTTTGTGGACTTTGAATATCCTAAATTAGATCTTTCCTTTTGCTCTAATTTCTAGGAAATTTCCTTAACTTTCTCTCTTTCAATAGTTCATCCCTCCACCATTTATATGATTGCATTATCAATTCTAAAGGCTTTTTATTGTATTCTGAATATTCTTTTCTTTACATTGAGCCACAATGTGCTCACCTAGCATGAGCGAGCCCTGGGTTCAATCCTCAGCACCACATATAAATAAATAAAATAAAGGTATTGTGTCCAACTACAACTAAAAAATAAATATTAAAAAATATTTTTCTGCTTACTTGTCTTTCATGGTTGCAACTCTCTCCTAAAGATAATTTTTTTTCCTTGAGTAGGAGAAAAGTATTTTTGTCATTTGTTTTGATTTCTGTTTTCATGATAGAGGCTTTTGTTATATATCTAATAATCTTTGGTGTCTGGTCTTTTATACAAATAGGGTAACAAAATGTTGATGGGAAACTAAGGGAAGAGGTAGAGGTTTGTTAAACTGTAAACTTCTCTGTAGAGTTTGGGCTTACAGCTGGAAAACCTTCTATATCTTCAGGACTTTTCACTTGGGTTGATCAGCTTACATGGAGAAGGATCATCTAATCTCCTGAGAAACAGAAGGCCTGGCTGCTGGATTCTGGGAACCAAGTTGGTAGCCAGGAACCTCAATATTCAACATTCAAATGCTGACTCAATATCCCTGTCGTCTAGAGACCTTCTGCTTCACCTTTTGCAGATAATACATTTGTATTACTTTTCTTGGTTAGGAGAGAGGCATTTACTCTACTGTATGAAGTAGGGAAGGAAATGGGTGGGAGGACTGATTGCCTTTGTGTGTGTGCTGGGGATTGAACCTGGGCCGTGTGCATATTAAGTACAGGCTGTACCACTGAGCTACACTTCCAGCCTTCTGACTACTTCTTGAATAAACTTGTAATCAATCAACCTTGATCTTCCTTTCCTTTTCTTCACTTCAAGAGGCACCTGGAACTGGATAGTTAAGTCTTTTATTGACTCTGCTGTATGCATGGGTTTGGTTATTGATTTCCCTCATTTGTTACCTTAGGATTCTGTTTTAAACTGAGTCTCATATAATTCATAAGTTTTTAATCTTCTCAGTTTTTGTTGCCATTATCTTGTCTCTTGTCTTCCATGCTTTTAATGTTTAAAATGTCATTTTATGAGTGGGGCAGGGAAGTGAATGCCTGTATTCCTAGTTGCTTGGGAAGCTAAGGCAGAAGGATCTCAAGTGTGAGGCCCACCTGTGCCAGTCAGTCAGTCCCTGCTTACAAACACAACAATAATAACAACACAAAAACAAGGGTGGGAGTGTAGCTCAGAGGTAGAAAGCTCCTGGGTTCAATTCCCAGTATGGGGGAAAAAATCTTATGAAATTATATGATGTATTCAGTTAAATTTTACTTAAGGTAGGGGATGACAATGAAAAGATAAATAAAAAACACATGATTATTAAAAATGGGCAATTAAATACATAGATGTTCTTAATACTATTCTACTTTTTTATATGCTTGAAATTTTCCAACATAAAAAATTAAAAAAAAAATCCCTTTGCTCTTGGTAGGCGGAGGCAGGAGGATAACAAGTTGGAGGCCAACCTCCGCAATGTATGGAGATCCTGTCTCAAAATAAATAGAATAGGAATATATCTCAGTGGTAGAGCATACCTGGGTCTAATATGTAGTGCTTAACAACACAATCCTTTTGTTGATGTCTTAGGGTAGTTTTGAGGGAGTGTTTAACTGCTATGTTTATATAGAAGAGTGGAATCATTCACTTTTTAATAAATCTTTATCAAACATCTATTATGTGCTAGGCACTATGCCAAAATGTGCATGGGAATATGGAAAAGGGAGGTTGTTATTCATTTTACCTGATCAAGTATACTGACTTTAAAAAAACCCCAAATCTATGACTCTTTTAAGTATGATGTTTTGGAGTGTTTGACAGTTTTTTCCCTTTTCTGACCTCTGAATGTTTTGATTTAAATACGTATTTTTATGAAGTATGAAAGAAGGAATCTTAAGGGGGTAAAAGGAATTGAGTGTAAGATGGACCATAAAGGGGTATCTTCTCAAATCTGAATATCATATTCATATGAGACATCTAAATAGCTTAAATAGTGGATAAAAATCATACTAGCAAGGAGTAGATAACTATTTTTATTTACTCACATTCAGAGAGAAAAGAAAATCTCTACCAGAAAATCCCACAAAGGTGGGAGATTCTTGCTGGTAGAAAAGAATGGGGAGTATACTATAAGTGATTGATTAGTAGAATCTGGTTTATGATTAAGTGAAAAATCTTGGTTTTTAGTTTGTCAGTAATGAGAATACCATGAACTGAAGTTATTAAATTAATTGTTACACAAACTTGTTCCTGTTAGTCTCAAGGGGACAGTCTGGGGCAGAAAGCTACTAGAGAAGCTATGAACCATCAAATTTGGATCTATGTAGATAACACTATGCATCCAGATTGCAATTTATGACCTACTTACCCCTTCATTCCATTACTTTACTTTTCTCCCTCTTCTCTGTCTTCTTTTTAAAAAGGCCCAAAGTCATGTCATTTTCCCAAGGAAGCAAAAAGCCCTTTGCTTTGACTGCTTTCCCTTTTGATTATAAATGTTTCTTTTAACAGCTCAGGTCTGCCTGATAAAATATGTACATGTGTGCATGCACATGCTTGCAAATACAGAGTGGGAGGCTCTTAGAAAGTAGAGAGTGAAGTCATGTGGACAGAATTCCTGTGTTTGGTTATGGTGAATAGAAAGTGAACTAAAACCTATCAGAACAAAACTTGAGGGCAGAGTAGATTTTAGATGTTCTGTTCCAAAAGCATTTAGCACCATGCCTAGCATGTAAGAAAAGTTCATTAAATATTTTTCAATATTTATGTATTGGTATTAACTTCTATTATAGAAACAGTGCTACTAATTAACATCAAATTTGTATTACTTATTTTTCTTTGAGCTTTTCAATAAAGCCTTTTGGTTCTATCTGGCAAAGTCAGCAAAAACCCAAACACATGTTCTAAGTGATATAAAACTCCACTTTTTATATTGTCTTCTGTCTTCTTTATATTGTAACATTATATATATATATATATATATATACACACACACACACACACACACATACATATATGTATCTTTTTATATTGTTTTCTGTATCATAGGAAATTCACTGGAGAGAATATTTCATTACTAAAAAGGGCACATGCAAAGACTACATTAAAGCATGAAAAATATTTGAAGTTCTAATTTCAAATGAGTAATAGATTGAATTTCAGCTCTCCCTTTTTAAGTTTACTGTGCTCTTGATACAGTTGTTAGGTGCATGGTGTAGACAGATGCAAATCAATCTTAACTGTCAAGGAACTCAGAATATAATGAGAACAAAGTATAAGATAAAACTATCTATGTATAAAAAATTTCAATCAGTCCTCTGAAGGAGTAAGGAAGCCCCTATGACTGAGGGCTTGGGTAGATAGCTATTTCTTCCTTTCAATTAGTTGTGTGAGAAGTATAAAAAGAAACTGGCTCTCCTTTTTCCTGAAAACAGCATAAATCCCTCAGATAGATGTCTTCTCCTTCCCCAAGATTTCCCCCCAGTTTTATCACTGAGACTTTGAATCTTACTATGGGAATGAAACCTTAAAGTTACCTAATCAGTTTGTTTTTTTGTTTTTTGTACCTGGGATTGAACTCAGAGGCACTGGACCACTGAGCCACATCCCCAGCCTTGTTTTGTATTTTATTTAGAGACAGGGTCTCATTGAGTTGCTTAGTGCCTCACTTTTGCTGAGGCTGGCTTTGAACTTGTGATCCTCCTGCCTCAGCCTCCTGAGCTGCTGGGATTACAGGCATGCACCACTGCACCTGACCCTAATCAGATTTTTTATCTACTCTTTGCTGAGGGTGGGTTGCTGGGCTTGTATCAGTTAGAACATACTAGATTAAGAAGCACAGAAAATTCAAATCCTATTGGTTTCATCATGAATGCAGACCCAGGTTGAGTTGTTTGATTCAGAGACTCAAAAACATCACCAAAGATTAGATTGTTCTCTGGGAAGGCTTTCTTGATGTCTGCTTTATTTTAACCTGGCCAGACCTGGTGTTTGGAAAATGGCTCCTTGTTTTTTGAGCACATGCAGAAGAGGTTGCCTCTGAAGCTCTCTCAGAACCTGAAAAACTTCCCCCAAAGACCCCAGCAAATTGCCCCTCTCATTGACTCAAATTGTCATGTCAACCAATAACTGGTGGAGGGAAAGGGATTGAGCTGATTCCTTAAATTGGAGTTATGCTAATTTGCTCAGATCAGAACCACATGCTTCAAGCAGGTAGGAAGGGATGGGACTAGTAGTTTTTTTTTTTTTTTAAACCCAAGATACACTACTACAGGATCTGGAACAAGGTCCAAGTGTAGCTAGTACAACTCCATGGAAGCCCCCAAATCCAAAACTACAATTGCCTTCTCTCGCTGGACAGCTCCAGTTGTAATTAAGTACAGTAATGGCATATATGCAGCTGAATCTACCTCCTAGTTTCCATCCAAGTCCAAGATCCAGTGACTCCTTCTTGCCCTGTTGTTGCTTGTAAGCTGCTTTCTTCAATTTTTTACTTTGGATGTATGGTCTTCGCAGAGTCTGTTTTGCTTAGGACTTATTCGCCTTTATTGCCCCAGCTGACTCAAAGGAATCAAAATAACTGGCTGCCAATCAAGAGAGCCTTACCTCCAAGCCCAAATTGAAGGAACTGAGGTTTAGTTTGTCTGTCTTCCTTCTATCCTGGAGCTCCTTCAAGCCAACTTCAGAATTTTTGCGGACCAAAATAGTGGTTGTGTGAAGTTCTCTGGGCCGTCTCAGTTAAATCGAAGGATTGGCTTAATCCATTTACAAGAACTCTTCCCGCTGTACGATTCCACAGCATCGAAAGGGGTTCGGGTACGACAGTCGTGAAAGCTTGGGTGAGTGGAGTTTGAGAATCTGAAGTCCTTACTGCTTTGTGCGGTTTCAGGGAGGTTTTACCCTTTCTTTTGCATTCGGCTAATTTGACCAGCCGCTTCTACGCCCAGAGAGACAGAGGGCCGGCTCTCCCTTCCTCACGCGCGCAGCTTCCAAGCTAAGCGTCACGCAGACTCCCGGGGCCAGGGCCTCTGGGCCCAGACCAGTGCCGCGTCCAGGGTCCAGCATGTCTTGCTAGGCGATGGCAGCCTTCAGTGCTCTGCGGCCTCGGGCTCCGGATCCAGATGCTCCCACGGCTTCATCTCCGTGATTCCACTTCGGGACCCGAGACGTAGAGGGACCAGCGCGAGGAGGCGCCACGGCGCCAGTCTCCTTGCTCTCTAGAGGCCCCAAAGAGGCGCCCTCGGCGGCGGGCTGCATGGGCCTTGCCTCCGGGGTGCCTACGCGCGCTTCTCGCCCCTCCCCTCCCCTTCCCTTCCCTTCCCTCCCCGCCGGCCGCAACTCCGGCCCGCCTCACCCGACCGCGGGCTTTGTCCAGCGTCCGCACAGCGGCCCCTCCCCGTTTTCACCGGCTCCGCCTCCCCGACCCCCCCCAGTCAGCTCCACTTCCTCGGCGCAGGAGGCGGCAGCGGGCAGGGGACGAAGGGGTTAACCAGAGGCTCTTCCCGGCGCGGAGGGATCCGGAGGCGAGCCGAGCGCGGTGCTGAGGCCGCCTCAGCGAAAAAAATGTCCGCCTGAGGAGACCCACAAGTTCTATTCGGGGGGACCGCCAGCCCGCCCCGGGAGGAAGGGGCGGCCAGGCCCGAGAGCCGCCTCCCCCGCCCGGACCCGAGAGCTCGCGCGGGCCAAAGTGAGCCGTGCCGCCGGGCGGTGCAAGGGGAAGCCCGAGTCCGCTCTCCCGGCCAAAGTGAACTTTAATCGGGGTGGTTGGATGCGGAGACGGGGCGGCAGGTAATTGCGGGTTGGCGAGCGGGAGGGAGACGGCGTGGCGGGGCTGGAAGCCCCTGCCGGAGCTGGGGCGTCCCCGGCCCGCGCCCCAACTCCGCGCCCCATTGTACAGAGCCAAATCCGAGGTCCCCTCCAAGTTGGGGAGCGGAGTCGGGTGGAGGCGCGAGTCGCCGGCGGCCAGGCCCGCGGGCGGCGCGCTCGGCCTGCGCGCCCCGCTCGGCGCTCGGCTGGGGCCGGCACCCAGCTCCGGGGCGCGCGGGAGAGCGGACGGCTTCGGCCGCTGAGCCAGGCTCATTGTTCGGCAGGTCCGGGGCAGGGCAGCAAAAGTGGGAGGAGGCCGAGCCCGGGGAGAAGGACGCCCGGCGAGACCGAGACTAGTTGTTGGCGTTCCTGCTTTCTTTTTTAAAACGCCCCTTGGGCGCGCGGGGTGTGCTTTCCGACCCCCTGGGCCCGCCGGGGACGTCCGGGAGGCGGCGGCCGCAGACGTGGGCCTGCGAGCGGCGCGTTCGCTGCAACTTGTCAGTTCTATTGTTGCCGAGCGAGTGAGTCACTTCGTATCTCCCCTCGCCGCTGCTCCGCTCTCTGGACGCCGAATTGCCCCTCACCCCTCCCCACCAGACCCCCGCCCCGGCCGGGCCCCGCGCGCCGAGCTCCCGGAGACTGCGCGGGGCAGGAGGGGCCGGGGAGGGGACCGGGACCAGCTCGGAAACTTGCGGGAGAGGCGGCGAGTTGCGGGAGCCACCGCGTCGCTCTCGGGCCGCGCCGAGGAACGCGTGGATTCAGGGACCCGGCGCGGGCGCTGAGCTCTCCCGCCCCCTGCTCGCGCCGTGGTGGGAAGGAGTGGGGGAATTGGAAGTCAGCTGGGCGCTCCCAGTGCTTTTCCTCCTCCCTTACGCCTCTTTCCATCCCCTCACACACTTTGGGCCTCGGTGGTCTCTCGCTCAGCCCGTTTTCCCCTGCCTTAGGACCTGCTAGAAGTGGCCGAAGATGAATTCCCAGCAGCAGCGCATGGCCGCTATAGGGACCGACAAGGAACTGAGCGACCTGCTGGACTTCAGTGCGGTAGGAAAGCGTTCCACGGCATCTTGGGGTTCTACTGAGGTTTACAAGGAAAAAAGCAAGCAGAAAAGAGGGGGGAAAGACCTAGACACTAGGCGGGGTGAACTCCATCTGTTTTGAGCAGTAGTTCTCAGGGCTGGAGTCCAGCTCCCCCAAGTTGGACACCTGAACTTTGATGTAATGTCTAGACTTGCAGATTTCAAACTTTAATGCCAGAGGGGTCGTTTGATTTAACCAGTTAAAAGAAGAACAATATAATCATGAGCTTTGGTTGAGTCATTCTTTGACCCTGATGATTATTAGTGATTTTAAACTGTATATAGACAAATTATTTTTTTTCAACTCTTCTCCTCACCATTTTCCTCCCTAAGATATGTTTATGGTACCTGAAAGATGTCAGCTGCAAGAAAGTGAATCCAGGGCTAAAATTTTCAGCTATTTGAGCCAGTACTTTTATTTTGACGTGCACATACAGTATACATGTACGCACTCTATCTGTAGTCTCAACCGGGAAATATCTTAAAAATATATGGTGAAACCACAGGGCTGGCTTGAATTTCTTTATCAGCTGCTATTAGAAGACAGGACTAATACCTGCTTTATAGGACTGTGTTATCCTTACTGTACATAGTAATTTCATTGGACATGATTCTGACTGTAAGTGCAAATTAAGTAATGTTAATATAATGAGATTCACTTAGTTCCAAAGTGAAGATCATGGGTAGAAACTTACTATTTAAACTTAATTAAACCGGAATCTTTATGTAAATGACTGGGTTTTCAGAAAAGAATGTAGTCAGTTTTTTTCCAAATAGTATTAGGAAACAGTATCAGTGTTTCCATTCTGAGTCTGAATGTATCTCCAATTGTATTTCAACTTCCCTATGAAATATAGTAACTAACTAATGACACTTGGTGGAATTTTATTTGCAAAGAATCTAGAAGAATTCAGGATTAATAGATACATTTGGGTTATTTTGCAGATGTTTTCCCCACCTGTTAATAGTGGGAAAACCAGACCAACAACACTGGGAAGCAGTCAGTTCAGTGGATCAGGTAAGATGTCTAAAACTAGAAACTCATATTTTGGTGGTGTAACACATTTTAGTAAAAAAGTATGAAGCATTTTAGTATCTCTTTTCATGCCATTTTCTAGTGTGTCAAGTTAAAATTATAAATAAAAACAAAAAAGCATCAAACATGGACAGTTTGCTAAAGATTCATTGATTCAGTTACAAGAATTTCAATACAGACTTAAAGTTGTTCATTTTCCTATGAATTTAAAATTGAAAATCATCTTGAGTTCAAAGGATTGTTTCAAACCTTTATATTTAGAAAAATGTCACAAAAAATGGTCCATGAGTGGTCTTTAAAACAAATTTTTTGATATATATATGTAATTTGCTAAATTTTAACTCACTGTCACTAAACCTGGATTCTAAAAAAATGGTAAAATACTATTATTGATTATGTGTATACAATAATTGAGTCATGCGATAATTAGTAAGATGTATTTATTTTAAAAGTTGGCTACTGGAAATTTATAAGTAACTAATTTCATGGGCAGTTATTTAAAATATTAATGGATGAAATGTTAGAAATGAATATAAACTTATGTTTTTTTAAATTACATGTCTTAGATGAATAAGTTCTGTCTGTTCTATATTCACATTACATTAGGGTAATGTTTATTAGATTCCTATTTCTATACCAATGCTGTTATCTTTGAATTTATTTTTGGTGTATTTATAACTATTTTGTTCCATTATTAGACATTCCATTTTTTTTTCTAACTTTTTTTTTAAACTCATCATTTTAAAATTAATATTCCAGAAGTAAAGTCCATTCTGATGTACAAAGGCTATAATTTCTGTTTGAATTTATTCCTTGGTACTCAGAGAGATGGAAAATAGTAAAGCCATAGCAGCAGCATCATATGAAAACCAAGTGTCAGATCTCTGAGCTGAAACGCAGTAATTGCTTTTTGATCAGTGCTTTTTATTTACCCTAGTAAACTGATAGTTGATTTCTTAAAATACTGTGAGAACAAAACACTGGGAATTTGAATAACTAATTTAACACTTTATTCCACTTCACATTTAAAAAATGTGTCAGATCATACACTACTAAAATTCATTTTTAATTATGAAATTACAACTTGTGGGGAAAATATAGCATGCTATCTAGCATCTCAAATAAGTAAAGCATTTTATAGCCTAATGGATAATAAAATATTACATTTGTTCAAAAGGATATCATGAAATGTTAGCCAAATCCCAACTCTTCTCTCATCTCATTTTTACTGGTAATCATGTGAAATTTTACTGTTTTGGGGGATAGAAAAAAATTATAAATATAGAAGTTGGATATAATCTTGTGTTTTGAAGACATTTTGGTTTTTACAACTAAGAATTCATTTTCAGAAACTTTCAAATTGCCTTTGTCTAACCTTGTATATTTCCTTCAATGAGTAGTGATATTATTTTATACTGTTTTTACTTACGTTTGGATAATATATATTTTTTGAAGATAGATGCAAGGAAAATATATTTAACTGGATACTTAATGAGAACTAGGACTTGGACTTCAGAAACTTGCTATTATAAATTCTTCCCAATTTTAGAATAAGAACAATTATATCAAGAATAATTATAGTCTGTGAAATTAAAAAGTGTTTAAACTCAAATGTGGATTGCAAGTATGGCATTGGAGTTGCTAGCTTCCTTTCATTGCATTACACAAAGAAAATGTTATTCTGTTTTGTAGAAGTGGTCACACTTGATTCTTTGGAGTAGGAAATTTTTAGTTTTATCATTTGTCTATTGAAAGTTTGAACTTAAACACCTGTATTCAGTGGACATGGAAATATTTACCTGGGTGGTTTGTTTTAAATGCCCCCCAAAATTATAATAAAATAAGCTGTGACCTTCAAAGTTAGTGAGTGGATTTAAATTTAAGAAGAGAAAAATGGTATGTGATTATTTTATGTCAAATATAGGGTAGATAAGGCTTCACTGTAGCCATTTTTTATCTTAAAGTGAATGTCTAAGAGAAATTGACAGAGTAATATTTTATTTATATTTTTTATATACTTTATTGACATATGAATAATCTTGTGCCCTGATTTCAAAGGATATTATGTAATACATTGTAATGCCTGTTTATTTGCAGCATGTAAGGAGCTAAAGAAATGATTTTTGCTTTTGAAGTGCTACTATAAAGATTAGAGTTTTTTTGTCTTCGAAAAAAAATTTGCAAAACCTTATGCCTATTTCTTTTTGAAGATGATAATTTAACATTGTGCAGTATAGTTCTTTTTGAAGATGATAATTTAACATTGTGCAGTATAGTTTTCTCTTGATTATTTATTTGTCCTTTTAGAGAATGTCTTAATTTCATAGTAGAATGTTTTTGAGAAATAGTATATAAGACTTTTAGAATTTTTTTTAGCTGAAAGTATACAGTGTATATTATAGTATGTGATATTATCTGTATCTTACTTCTAAAGCAAAGCAACTTATATGATAGCTGACACTTCATCAAAAGTTATGTAAAAGATATATTTACTGTTTTTCATCTCTAAGAGTTTATTATAGTGTTATTTCTTCATCAAGGTATTAATTTCTTTTGTAGTATAGTTTCATTGTGAATTTATCCATTTGCTGTGTGAGGTGTTCTCTAGTGACCTTGAGAAAAGTGTTTCTGTGAAAGTGAAAGGTGAGGTATTCTATTAAGGTAGTATATAGAAAGAAAGTTTGTGGAAAGGATTGATAAAATGGATATGGTTCAGGTATTTAATTCTCCTAACCCCCAACTTTAGGGTTTGAGTATGCAGATTAAAAAAAATGTTAGATTAAGTATTTGAATGTTTTCTGAAAATTTCCTTTGTATTTTAATCCAAGTAGTAAGAGATGTTGGAGGGGAGTGGTATAATTTTATAAGCCATTTGTATTGATTGAGTTTGTCTTTCATGCTTCTATCTAGAAAGTTACTTTAACTAGGAGGTTAAAGTTTTCCTTTTCCTTTTTCAAATTAGACTTTTGTAATAGTATAAGTTTCATCTTAAGAGTTTTGGGAACTATTTTAAGAAATATCTTCTTGTAATTTTTAAATTTAAAAAAGGAATACAGTTTATCATTCTTCAGTTACTGATCAGTTGGAGTGAGAAGGATATTCAGAGATACATAGTTTTTTTTTTTTTTTAAATATTGATGTAAGGCCAGAAAAATATTAATGAATTCTCATTAATTGCTTTTCAGTGATTTTGTTTTAATTAAACTTTTTGTTTTGAGATAATTGTAGATTTATATGCAGTTGTCAGAAGCAATACAGAAATCCTGTGTAACCTTTACTCATTTGCCTGCAATGGTAACATCTTGCTAAACTGTAGTACAATATCACAATGAGGTTATTAATAGTGATACAATCAAGACAAAAAAACTGTTCCATATCACAAGAATTCCTGATGCTGCCCTTTTATAATTGCATTCTCTTCTCAGATAATTAAAAAAATGTGTGGTAAGAGTATTAAATACCTACACATCATATTAAGCATATTAAGATTATTAAATGTCTACTTGCCCTAGTAAACATTTCAGATTGCTGTAGCGTTATTTGAACTTACCAAGAAAAAAAATTAAGAGAAAACCAAAATTTTACTAATGTGTTTTTAAGGTGAACTACAGTAGAATAGGAATGGTGATTTTTTTAAACAGAAGGAAAACTAGGTTTGGCCTTTCCTTTAAGGTATTTTAATGTTTGTTATGTATAGGGTGTGGGTCATATTATACACTGTGTTGAAATTTATAGTTATAAACTATAATTTTTAGTTATATATATTTGTTATAATTTAAGCTTGTTAGACATTTGCTCTGTGTAAACTATAGTGATGAATGAGAGTAACTGCATAGTCAGCAGGGACGTGGTGGAAAATATATTTTAAAATAAATATGGTAAGCTATTAATAGATCATTTAAGGGAAAAGTTAAGTAGCAGAGGAAAAGTTAAGTAGCAAAGGGGTCTTTTAGTGACAACTTACATGTGAAAATACAAATGGAAAACTGAAAAACTAGGGACAAGATTATACCCATGAGTAGAATATATTCTTTAGAACAATTCTTATAATGTTCAAGCTATTGTGGATCTAATGGATTTGAAAAATGGATGACAGCATTTTAGATACTTATGGTATGTAGGGAAGCATAGCTGTATTGATGGTTTTTGTCAGTTTTCATAAACAGTCTAAATAAAAACTCAAGTTTCTTTTTTTCTTAAACTATCCTATGGTATATTGTCTTCTTTGAGTTTTAAGATTTAGATTCTCTTGGAATGGGAAGATAAAGATGAAGATATTCAACCTTGAATATAAGAACAGTTGTTTTCACACTTTGTATTTAACAAGGCCGTATAGAATATATTCTTTTGCATAGTCAGCAGGGACGTGGTGGAAAATATATTTTAAAATAAATAAAGATAAAACCAGATACCCTTTTCGGTTCTTGAGCAATTGATAATTATGCCTGAATGTTACTGGCTGCTTTATGTTGTTGAAAACTGGTAACCTGAAGATAAAATGTAGAATTGTAAAGTAAATTTCTGTAACAAAAAATGTCAGAAACTGCACATTAATGTAATTTCAGTTAAATTCATAAGAATCAAGATGTGCCATAGATTCAGGGAACAGGCTTAAGGAATACTCAGAAGTTTTGAATTCAGAGTTGACTTGTGAAGGAGATAATGGAAAATGAATTAGGGAAAAGAACTGGCCTCTCAGGCGTGGATTAGCATGAGGAGATACCCAGAAATGGAATTTGGCTCCATCCAAGGCCCTATACAGTTTGGAGAAAGAGAAGCTGGTTTGTATTGACACCATTCCTGAATTCATGTCATATACTGTTACCTGGAATGATTTTGCATGAGTTTACATACACATTTTATCACTTGTTAACTGGTTGATCTTGGGTAAGCTACTTAACCTCTCTGTGTTTCTGTTTCTTAATTTGTAAAGAAGTACTAACAATATAGCTATTCATGTGAGGTTGTTATGAAGATTAAAT